GATTGTGTGTACATGTATAGATGATGGGTACGTAACGTGTTCGATTGTATGTACAGGTCTCAGAGAAAACAGCAGCAACTGGTGGATGAGTCTTCCTCGTCTTCATCACCCCCAGCTGTGGAGCTGCAGGACGAATGCAGCAAACTTCATGATGTCGTCGCCAAAATGGTGATTATTTCCTGTGGGTGGGGCCAAGTCCTCATTTGCATTAATCCAGTGAATCTGTCATAATTTATGACATCACAGTGGATGATGTCACAACCCATGACAGGGTTGTAAGATTATTTTAAACGAGTTAGCAATCAATAAAATGGTCTGTGAAGCGCTTCTCTGATTGCCTGATGATCTGACTGGTGACTTTTTGTCTTTGTCGTCTTGTCAGGTTGCCATGGTGACAAAAATGGCACATCTGATGACATCACAGCGAGGCATTCGGGACCTGGAGGAATTTCAGTTTGGACCTGAAGGAAGAAAATGTCCTCTATTTCACACCTGGAACACTGAACACTTTGGTGAGTGATGTCATCAGCCTCACCTGTACAACATCTGTCTGATCCACCTGCTGCCAGAATCACATAAGAAAATAAAGGTTATGTTCAAGACGCATTTTATTGTTTCAGAGTCGTCTGACGTTTCTTCTCGTTTCAGAATCGTCATCTGGTTTCCTGTGGGAAGCGTTTAGTCAGGAGCTGAAGTTGAAGCAGGCCGTCCTGCAGGAAGTCGCTCACACTACAGACCCTGACCTTGACATGGTCTTCCTGTCCTGCTGGCTACATCAGCCCTACACCCCCCCCCAGACCAAACAGACCCTGGAGGCTCTGCTGCTGGAGACTGGACACCGCCCACTGTGATGTTCATCGTCTCCAGTCCAGATCAATTTCAAGGTCCTGAGAATCCAGGTGTTAGCGTAGATGTGTGAAACAAACAGGTGAACTCAGTGGCTCCGTTCATAATAACAGTGTTAATAATGTTCTATTTATTCCATCATTCAGTATTGCATCAGTAACCCATCATACAAACACTAAAACTCAGGATAAATAATCAATAATTAAGTGTCACCATGAAGATTCATCCACAATGAAGTCATGAAGACGCTCTGACCTTCATCAAGGGAAATCATCGAACACTCGATCAGTTTATTGGAGGAACAAGAAATGAGTTTAATGATCAATGTGACAAATCAATAATTTGATTTCCTCCAAACTGTTTTCAGTCTGTCTAACTTTCAGTTGAAGTTAGGAAAATGTTTGTGAAGTTATAAAAAGTAATAAAAAAAAGTGCAACTTTTTAAAACTTTTGTATTTATCTACATATAAACAATCATTTTCTATTTTACATCAACCAAACACAGAAAACAAAAGTTAACAAATTTACAATCAATTCATATCTAAAAACCAGCAGCCTTCTGTCGAGCAACAATGACATCATCAAGTGAGATGAGAACTGAATGAACTGAGATGAGTACAGCAGCTCAGAGGTTTCATGCCACAGTTTTATCAGCTCCATCACAAATACAGGAAATGATGCGGCCACTGATGTTTGATCCGTCAGAACTTAATGATCAACACTTGTTGATTGACGGCATTGAGATGAGATGTCTCATCTGACGAGAACAGATGCAGGTGTGATGACAAAGGAACAGTTCATCCTCATGTGCAAAGCAACACCTGAAACCACAAACAGCTGGGGGGGTTGATGGTCCAGGTTTGCTTCACCTGTGTGACTCACAGCTGCAGCACTTACAAGCTCAAACCACCTTAAAAATCTGGACTGTGCTCAGTTCGGATCATTCTAGATTCTCTTCAGGGTTTAGTTCCATCTGATGCCTCGATTCCCAGCAGGGCCTGGACAGCCTCCAGGGGGACGCCCTCTGGAGTCTGGATATGCATAGTGGTCCCATCTGGCCCATTGACAATGACGATCCGGTCTGATCCGGGTTCTGCAAGTTGGACTGTTAGGCCCTCTGTCTCAATGTAGATCTCCTGTCCCTCTTTCAGTTCTTTGGCCTCAAATGCCTCGGTGGTGCTGGACTGAAAAGAGTGCCCCTGCTGGAGCTGATTGGATGCCTGTGTCTGGACTGTGCTGGACTCAAGGGTCTGGATTGTGACGGACTCGGTTGTCTGAATTGAGGTAGACCCAAGTGTCTGGACAGAGTCAGACTCCAATGGTTTTGTGTCCGTTTCGGGACTTGAACCCAGAGCTTCCTCCAGCTCCTTCATCTGGGCTGCGATGTCAGATGTACTCAGGGCCTGGTCTTGGCTCGCTGGCAGAGATTCCACTTGGATGTGAGTCTGCAGAGGCCCCTCCCCCTGGTCGCCTGGAGTCACCACCATAGGTGTGTCAGGGGGTGGAGCCTTGGTTGCGGGCGTCTGAGCAGAGGTGGAGCCAGAAGAGCTGCAACCCCCCAACACATTCCCACTTCAGATCAGATTAGCTCTGTAAACCTGGTCCAGGTGTGAAACTATGGAGCTAGGATCTTGCCAAAACTCAACAAACAAAATCTTTTATAAATTTGCAAACACTGTGGTTTGAAATGACAAAACACCATTAACACGCTTATTCATTTTGTTTTGCAAATACAAAATGCACCCAACAAACAAATACACATTTGTTTAAGAAAACCCCGAACCAAAGCTACCTCTAAATTTGAAGTGAGCCCGTATCCAGACCTTTTCGGTTCATGTTGAAACAACCCACTATTTCATTCCTCTCTCCCAAATGAATGGTAGGGAATTGTTGTTTGTTGAGTTTTGGAAGATTCTAGCTCAATATGTTATATTATATTACCAACATGTCTCCATGTGATCACCTGGGTCAGCTCACCTGAAGTCAGCGCTGGTGGTCAACAGTTTGGATCCATCTGAAACCACCAGAGGAGACAAGGAGACCAAGCTGGAGTCCTGGGAGGAGGTGACAGGGGTCACAGGGGCAACTGTTGTTCCACCTTGAAGAAAAAATTGAAAAGTTAGAAACAAACCCAGTCCGGTAGGGGGCAGCAGATGTAGTATCTGTACCTGTTCTGTGCGTCTCTATTCCATTCTGGTGAACTGGAACGCTGTTCTCCATCTTGAATCTCTTTGACGGTGGTAGCATCTTAGAATTCTGGGAAACATATTAGGATTAAATCAGGGATACCCATCACCGGCCATAGGTTCTACAGTAAAACAGACTGTATCTAGATCCAGACTAAAACTGAACCCTGTCACCAACAGCTTGTTTACCTCCATGTAGCGAACATTCTTACTGGTCAGACTGGGACTGGGAGATGCCCCAGGAACCACCCTCATCTTGTTCACCTCATCAAGGATCCCTAGAGACCTGGCAACCTGAATCACGCAGTCCAGTTCAGACACACCCACAGTAGATCACAACAGATCACAACAGATCGCAGTAGAAACTCTCACCTCGATGTTCCTGACCTCAAGTGGCGTTGCTCCTCCTTGTGGACTGATGATATAATCCTGAGCGGCCTGTTTCACCTGAACTTGCAGAGACTCGTACTCACGGTAAACGTCTGGAAACCGCGTTTGAGAAGGACCACCACGCTCCACCTACAGAGGACACAAGACCATTAAAGTCAGACCTGGACTCAGGATCCGGATATAAACCAGGTTCCTGCAGCACGTTACAGCAGAACAGAGACAAACTCCGACACAACAAAGAACAGGGAACACCCACCTATTTGACGCTTTACTGTGTATCAGTGTATTATTAGCATGTACCTTTGCCAACAGCAGCTCCCACAGACTCAATACTTTGGTCAAACGAGGAAGAACGATGTCCATCAGCTCCTCGTCCTCACACTCCGCCACCAGCTGTAAATAACACACCATTGTCATGGAAACAAATCACACACCTGAATGTATTGATCATTACATTATACATGTAAAATAAGACATTCATTTAAAGTCTGTCTTCACTCTCTTCCTCTTACCTCCTGAAGTCGGTCTCGTCTACCCTCCGCCTGCTGCTCTGACGTTACCATGGTAACACTAAGCTTTGGAGGTCGTCCACGTCGACCACGCCTACTGACAAGGCCTACTGTCACCTGAGAGAATTAACCAATCAGATTAAATGATTATTACTGCAGGTCTGTGGTTCTGGATCTATACAGGTGTGATTCACCAGGTTGACGCGAACTCACTTTAGGAGGTGGTGCCAGTGATCGGCCCCTTCCTCTGCCCCTCCCTCGGCCCCTGGGTCGGCCGGGGCCTCGATGATGGAGGCCCCTGAGTCCCACAGCTGCTGCTGGTCCTCCCTCCACCTGAACACAGACAGAAAGTACAGCAGCACTTAACTAACTCGTACGATTGACCTGTATAACTAACCATGAAATAACACCAGACACACACACACCTGTGACATACACAACATTAAGAATGAAACAGATGATGTGACCCGTGGTTATTGTTTATAAAGATTATCCAAATTATATCAGATTATATAACATATATAACTACATCAGATTTAGGGCTGTGAAGGTAAATGGTGGGTAACCGGGGAAGACTCTCAGGAAGCATTGCACAGCTCCAAGTCCACTGACTTCATTTTGGGTCTTTTCATACAGGTTTTCACTCACTTACTTTTTACTTTCTAATCACTGTCAGTCATTTACTGCTCCTCTGTGTCTCTATCATTCACACTGAGCATCATCAAACTGAACAACAGCATCTCCTCCATTTACTAAGTTTACAAATTCTGTTGTTTTTATACAGACTGAGTTATACATGTGTCCAATCACACTGTGTATGTGTGTGTGGAAGTTAATTACTTATATAACTATTACTACTACTATATAACTACTATTAATATTACTCTGTTTGTTGCCATGGCAGCAGGTGTGTCCTCCGTCTTCTCCTCTGTGACAGTTGTCTCTTGTGAATGGCTGACCTCTCTGACTGGACATGGTGTGTTGCTAGGCTGGTTGCCAGGGGGTTCAGGGTCTCCATGGGTCGGGTTTAGTTTATAGTGCCGGTTCAGGCCTCCAGGACCGATGTAGGCCTTATCGCAGGTCTGGCAGTGATGGGACCGGGACTTGTGGCTGTAGGTGAGGGAGTTGGAGGCACCAGGGGTGGGGCCATCCTTCCTTCCGCCCTCCCCCTCCTCCTCCTCCTCCATGCTCATTTCAGAGTAGTCGTCAGAGTCGGACTGGTGGCTGTCAGCAAGGTCCTCTGTCTTTATGAACTTGTAATCTTTGGCTTTGTACTTTGGTGGTCTGGAGACCCGACCAGATCTAGTCTGGACCTTCGCCACCTTCTTCTCCCTCTTCTTTACCCTCTTCTTCTGTTTGTCTTTTTCTCTGTCCTTCACTGCCGGGATCATAGGGGGCAGTGGAGGTGAGGTCACAGTGGCAGATAGGGCCGGTGTGATGGTCGTCAGGACAGCAGGTGGTTTGACGAGATTCTTCCTGGCGGCTGTTGTCGTTCCGTTAGTGGGTTTGATTTGTGGGATGCTTACAGTACTAGAATTTGGTGGGGTCTTATCAATGGAGGTGGCCACGGTCCTAAAGGAAGTGGGGGGGGCTGCTGATTTCTGACTCGAACCAGAGACAGTGGCTGTTGATGTCGTCTGGGCCGTCAACTTATGGACCAATGGGAGAAGAGATCCAACAACGGGGGCAGGGCTTTGTAGCAGCAGCTGGATGGGCGGGTCCCCTGGACTCTGCTGCAGGAAGAACTGCTGACCCTCCTGACCAACCACAGGCTGGATGTGGATGATCTGAGCACTGCTCACGCTGCCATTGGCTGACAGCTTCACCTGCGGATGATTGACAGATACAGTTTTCTGCTGCAGGGTGGAGCTGTACTTCACTTCCTGTTTGGGAGGAACCTTGATCTGAATAGTGACGGGCTCCGACTGAAAGGACAGAAAACCAGAAGCTGCTTAGTCTCAGAAAGATTCTCACGTCGACACTGTGGAACAACTGAGATATATCATTGATCACAGATATTCACTGAATGATCAGTTATAATCAATAGAAAAGTCAATTCCATGTCAAGAGTATTTGAGTTGAATAAAAACAGTTTGATTTAACCTCAAGGTTTTAACTCTGACTGAATATTAACCAGCAAACATCTGGAAACACCTGGAGACACCTGAACTGTTTTCACACATGACCTGCTGCTGTGTTTCACACCTGAACCACACAGCAGCAGGTTTTCTGCACAGACTCTAACCCTAACCCTTTACAAGAGCATCAAATCCTCCTCGTTCTTCAGGTGAGAGGTGGAGGAGCCGGGTGCAGCAGACAGAGACAGGCAGTGACGTATGAACTCTGCTGCAGAGATCATGTGATCATGTTTACATCACCTGACACTGTCCTCAGCAGAACATCTGG